AGACTGAAAGAGGCAATTGTGTCAGGCATTGTCAGCAACGGTGGTGGAGCCACTCAGCCTGTGCAGACAGATCTAGAGAAAGTCACTTCAAACAGAAACCGTTTTAGAAACTGATGGGTGCACCTCCAAGGGCAGCCTCCATGGTCCCTCTCCTATCCTCGCCTACTCCTGGCCATTTCCGCCCCTCCTTTTTTTTTTTTTTTTCCCACCTTCTGTTTTCTCTCTTTATCTTTTATTCCTCCAGTAGTTCAAATGTTATTGTTACTTGTTATTTGATATGTCATGCAGCATGTGATTGTTCTTTCACCATGTACGTTTCGGATTTACAGTCCTCTTTACTTGCTCTAAGTGCATCTATCTGTTGATGTTACAAGATGTTATATGCTACATATGTTCTTTGTGTAATGCTTTCTTTTACCTTGCTCTTATGTGTAGAGCTCCTGAGCACTTTATGTATGAAACTGGTGGGTGGAGTTTACATAGAGCCAGTTATTCAAATTTAGAATGCCAGTAAAGGAAACAGGAATTTTGACTCGCAAAATTCCATATCTTGGAGTACAGTACAGTACAAGATACAGGCAGCCTATTCATGTACCATGGGATGCCCCCAAGCAATGAATACCGGGGTGGGTAAGAACCAGGCAAAAGGAACTGTGGCAACAGGCCCAACAAACAGGTTAAACTTTAGGTTCAGAGTGTTGCTGCTAGAAACCTGGGTCCGAAAACGGCATCCACAGATGAATGGTCAGCCAGGTAAAATGGTGAAAAAAGTATGAACTGAGGACCAGGTGGCAGCCTTACAGACTCGAACGACAGAGGATTGGTGCCTGAAGGCCCAGGATAATCCAACAGATCTGGTTGAGTGGGCACGTAACAGCACAGGTGGATTTTTTTTTTTTTTTTTTTTAGTAGAAGCTCAAATGCACTGAGCAATGGTGAATTTTGAAGTAGGATGTCCTTTGCAAGGTCACTGGTAAAGAAAAAACAGGAAATATTTTTTTAATGTAAGCAATAGCTTTTAGGTGCACTCTAATGCTGCTGACTAAGCCCAGACAATGCAGAAAGCCTTCCTTTGGATGCTTATGAGCAGGCCACAAGTATGGCAGAGCAATATACTCATTGGAACACTGAAATAGTCCAAACAAACGATGTACCTAACTGTTGCCAAACCTGGGAGCGCTGTATAAACACTGTCCTCAGCTACATACAGTACACAGTGCTGTGTTCCAGCAGCAGGGCAAGAACTTCCTGTCCTGCTCCCAGAACAAAATTGAGCTGGGCTGAGTGCTGCTCAGCCATATAGAAGAAGCTTTGTATTCTATGAATGACGAAATGTGTGACGTAATTTACCTGCCTCTGTGCCTTCAGCCAATCAGAGAAAGCTTTGTATGCGTTCATAGAATACATAGTTCTCTGTGAATGGCTGAACAGTGACTTGTTGCAGGAGTGGGACAGGAATGTCTTGTCCCACTGATTGAACACTGCTGCAACTCTTAGTTTATTAACTACTTCCCACCCAGCCAATAGTAAAATGACGGCCGGGTGGGACTCTCATCGATCCGGAAGGGCATCATATGACATCCTTCCCGGATCGTGCCTTGCGTGTGCCCACAGGGCTGCTCTGTGGCAAGACCTGTCAACCAGCTGTGTACCTCGGACACGGCCGATAACAGATTTGAGTACTGGCCCCGTTGCCAGTACCATGGGACCTGCTGTGGCCTATCACAGCAGGTCACATGACGGTTGTAAACAATGGATGGCTTCCTTTCATGCCATCCAATGTATACAAGTGTGTCTAGCTGTGAATGGTTACAGGGATCACTTGCACAAGCTGGGCTATTCACAGCCCATCTGTGTCATGTGATTAGCCGTGGCCAATCACAGCTAATCACAAGAAAACCTGAATGAATCGATTTCATTCAGTTAAATGCTTGCTTATAGCAAAGAAATGACGTCCATGGACGTCATTCCAGAACACACCGCCGGTGATCTCTGTGTCCTATGGATACAGCTGATCACGTGATATCGTAAACGGCCAATCACAGCAACCTTTTACCACGTGATCAACTGTGTCCAATGACACAGCTGATCACCGGGTAAATACAGTTGCCGGTTATCGGCTGCACTTTTCTCACTCTGTCACAGCGTGAGAAAAGTACTGCTGATAACCAGCAATTGTCAGAGAAGTGATTAACACTGATTATCTGTGCCCATCAGTGCTGCCTATCAGTACAGCCTCATCAACACACATCAGTGAAGGAGAAAAATTAGAAAAAAGAAAAACATTTTTTTTTTTCAAATTTTTTTGCTCTTTTTGTTTATAGCGCACAGCAGAGAAATAAAAGCAGAATGTCTCTGTAGTAAAACACAGCACATAATGTAAAACTGCACACAGTTAACCATTTGATTGTCCCAGATTTTTAACCCCTTCCTGCCCAGTGCCATTAGTACAGTTGGAGTGCTTTTTATTAGCACTGATCACTGTATTAGTGTCACTGGGGATGTCAGTGGCAGCTAGTCAGTTCCCACCCAGTGTCAGAATGCCCGCTGCAGTCCCGCTGTAAGTCGCTACATTGTCATTACTAGTATAATAAAAATAAAAATTCCAGTATGTATACTGCCATTGGTAGGCGCTATAACTTTCACATAAACCAATTCTTATACACTTATTGGTTTTTTTCTTGTTTTTTTTGTTTTTGTTTTTTTGCAACAGACACATAGCAGAATATATTTTGGCCTAATATGAAGAAATTTTTTTTGCTGGACATGTTTTATAGCAAAAAGTCAAAAATAGTTTTTTGTTTTTTTTTTTTTTTTTTTTCTCCCAAAGTTCTTTTTTTTTTTTTTTATTTATAGCGCAAAAATAAAAAATGCAGAGTTGATCAAAAACCACTGAAAGAAAGCTCTATTTGTGAGAAAAAAAGGACATACATTTTTAATTTATGTACAGCATAGCATGACCGTGCAATTGTCAGTTAAAGTAACGCAGCGCCGTATCACAAAAAAATTACCTGGTCAAGAAGGGGTGTAAATCCTCTGGAGGGTAAGTGGTTAACTTATGATTTTATTACTATCACATAGGGGACCAGTAGTCCCCTGTGTGATGGTCTGTAAGTGACATGTCCTCTTTGTAGGAGGCAGGAGAGGAGCAGTGTATACAGTGAGGGAGCAGTGTATACACTCAGGCTCCCCTCCCTTGCTGCTGCTAATTGTCATTGCTGGGTTTTAAATTCAATTACCGGCTTTTTTTTTTTTTTCCCCTCCACTATAGCTCCCAGAAGGAGCTGTTATTCGCTGGCTGTTAAAGTAAACAAAGGGGCAGGGTCACCCAGTGACATTATCCAGTGTCCCCGCCCGTTTGTTTACTTATCAGGGGGGCAAATGACAGTTCCTTCTAGGAGCTATAGTGATGAAAAAGAAAAGCCAGTAATTGCATTTAAAACTGACAATTACATTTAGCAGCAGCCATTGAGGGAGCCTGTCTGTATACATGGCTCCCTCACTGTATACACTGAATACCACCTCATTCTGCCTTCTCTGCCGCCCTCCCCCCCCATCTGTAGTACACACAGCCCCCTCAAAACCCCCTGGCCAAATAGACAGTCCGCTCCTCATTGGGGCTGGGTCTATCATTATCAGCAATGTATTTTCTCACTTTTTCCTTTCGACAAAATTTCGGCCGCCAACATTTCGGTGCATTCCTAGTTATAGGGGAGGTGCCCGGTGGCCATGTCCTCAAACTTTATAAACCTATAACCCAGGGTCTAGGGATATCTTGCCTGTGTCCTGTACTGTACTAAGAAAAAAATTTAAAAATTCAGAAAATGGTTTCCCTAGACATAAATGAGCACTTAACCGTTGCAGGGGGAATTCTTGTTTTCCCTGGAGTTTAGCTTACAAACAAAAGTAAAAAGTTTTTTTTTTTTTTTTGTGTGTGATGCGTTCAGAGAGTTTTCTTCACTTCCTGTCTAGTAGAACTGAGCCACCAGGGTAGGAAGTGAGGAGAAATCTCTCTAACAGAGCTCAAGATATCACATCTATCAGAAACCTTGAAAAATGGCTACACGTACATTTTAAAGGATAAGTTCGCTTTTGGGAACATGTAACCTGTTCTCATAGCTGCAGCTGTGCCCACCACCCCCCTGACAGATATTACGGGAAGTAGTTTCCTCATACTATCTGTCAGATTTGCAAACAGCGTGGCCGGCTGGGGCTCCGCCCACATGGCCGTGTCATTCATTCACGGACTTCCGTGAATGAACGAACTGCAAGTCCTGAGCTTGTAGTTTTCAGTGAACTACCACAGCGACATGGAACCCCGTGGTAGTTCATTTGGAGCTTCCTGTCAGAATATCTGCTTGCTCATTCATCCCGTATGGCAAGCAGATATTCTGACAGGTCTGCAGGAGACCTGCATGGCATCAGCAATCTACTGATCGCTGGTGCAATGCTTTCCAGTCTCCTTTGAACAAAAATAATAAATGCAAATTTTTTACCTGCAAAAAAAATTTGCATTTTTTATTTTTGTCCAAAAGGTGAGCTTATCCTTCAAGCCCTTCAATGTATAAACAGTTTCAATCTTCCTTACACTTGGAAATAGCCAAACAATGAAGTGTAAACCTAGCTGCTGTATAGCCACACAAGCTAAGGCAGTTCTCTCCTAAAATGCTTTGCAAGTCCATAGGTTTCTGTATAAATTGACCATAGTTGTGTGTGAATTGTAATGCTGGAAGGGACGTTGTAAGCTCAACTGGGGCAGGTACCAATTTCTCTGTAATAGTGCTGTACAAATTCACAATCATGTATACCGATTGGTCATGATGGTATCTATTGATCCCTTAGATGGCCTTTGATTAGGTAGATAAATCTTAAATGACATAGCCGTGCATGGGCTCAATAGCCTTTCCTCTTAGGTTTTACCTTATGATTGCCTGATATAGTACTAAATAATTCTTTAGCAAGGTTTAAACGTGTCCTTTCTCCTCTTTTTATTTTCTAAGGAGTCGTAAAGACAGTTTAGAAAGTGAAAGTTCCTCAGCCATAATTCCTCATGAGTTAGTACGTACACGACAACTGGAAAGCGTCCATCTCAAGTTTAACCAGGAGTCTGGCGCACTCATTCCACTTTGTTTAAGGTAAGAATGTGTGAGGTAAGGAGATGCCATTAAGGGGCAAAAATGAGCTTGTCATATACTTAACACAAATTACAGTAGCATTTCAGTCAGATCTTAACTTTACCTCAACCTGGTCACACCTTATTCGAAGCCTATTCTAGCTACCCTGTAAAGGAAAGGTGTCTACTTGCCTATCCTGAGGACTTTTCGGGCCAGTCATAGAATTGGCTCCCAGCGCTGGCTTCAGTGTAGGGGAAGGACAGCCAACAACGGATGCTCCATAGTAAGCTCATGGGTGACATCATCGCCCAGGCTCTGCAGACATTATTGGCCATCTCTGCTGTTCACTGACGACCATTGGAGAGATCATGGTAGCAAGCCCGGAGTGCCTTCAGAATAAGTATAGAAAACTTTCCTTTTACAGAGTAGTTAGAATAGGCTTAGAATGGGGATGGGAGCAGATTTAGGTATAGTTAGGATTTGACTGGAATTCTGCTTTAAGGATGATGCTTGGGATCATATTTAGAAAGCAGTGAATGTGACAGTCGCCAAACATTGACTGGTGCTTGTGTTTTTAGCTTACAGGGAATGATTCACTTGCAGTGAATGTTTGGTCAACATCACATTTAATGCTTCAAAATATGCCCCTTTGTGTATATAACTTAATCTCTTGACGCCGACGTCACACAAATATACGGCCTCACGGAACTGGGCTTTTTTCCGTTGGGCCGCATATTTGCGTACCTGTCTTTGTGCTGGGAGCGCGCCGCACTGTGCACTCCCGGCACAAAGACCGTGGTGTCACTGAGTGTAACGATTGGGACCCGGACTCCCGATTCCGGGGTCACATGATCGCTGTGATAGCCTCTGATTGGCTATCACAGTGATCAGTCACTGGGCAGCCTGGCCCCCTTGTTTTTTCTCTCTATGAATGGAGTAGAGAGATACATTGTATCTCTAACTCCTCGCATAGAGAGAAAAAAAAAATGTTTGTAAAAATAAATAAATATTAAAAAATAAAATATACCTAGATCAAGGTTTGATCTAGTTCAGTGCCAGGGTAAGTGTTTGGGTCAGGGTCAAAGGTCAGAATTAAAACAAAAAAAAAAAAAAAAAATTGGTATCAGTGTCAATGTCCGTGTGTTTCAGGTAAACAAAAAAAAAAAAAAGACAAAAACAAAATGCGCACTGTTGTTTCTGGGCTGTACTACAGGTACAAACCACAAATACCATACACATATATGGTATCGCTGCGATCGTCAAGCGGTAGAGAATTTATTTTGGGTTGTTTTTTGGTGGTAGGTTATGGTAGTAACAAGAAACACACAGCTAAATTAAAAAAAAAAAAAGATTTTTTTTTTACTATTTTGGGCCAGTTTTCCTTTTATAATAATAATAAAAAAAAAAAATTAGGAGATATCCATTACCATTTACCACCAAATGAAAGCCCAATTTGTCCTGAAAAAAAGCGGTATAATTCACCTGGATGTACAAAGTAGTTGTGATATTTACGGTTTTTCTTACACATGTCAATGTTGCAAAATTGTGCTTAGGCATTTAGATTTGTTTTACCCTTAGGCGTGAAAGGGTTAATGAACTTATCTAATAAATATATCATGGCAGGGTCACCAGGAAAAAAAAACAGCCTGAAATAGAACTGCAACATATTACATTTTACTTCTTGGGTTTAGTTACACCTAAATAAAGGCATAGACCAAAGAGCAGCTTTTCTTGACCTATTTCAGTTGTGGCACCCATTAAAAGTAAGCAGAATCATGAGGCAGCTTAGTTCAGAATGTAAAAAACGTAAATGTTACATTGTTAAATCAATGGTAAACCTAAGGCTGAGATGATGCACAGCCTTGAGAAAATTCACTTTGCATCAGAGGTCCTCCCATTCCGTCCAAAATCAAACAATCTATTCTTCATATTACAGCCCTACGTTTTGATTCCAGCACAGAAACAGAGGGCGGGAGGTGCAGTGGGTCTGGAAGAAACTGCTTTCTATTCTCTCCTGAATGATAGAGATGGCCCTGGATCAGCGTAATGCATTGCTATGGTGCGGAAAGGCTAGCTGTCAACACAATAACGAAGGCCGTTGTGCGTCCTGGCCCTAGACCACTTTTGGTTGCTTTGGTGTTGGCAGCTGACTCATATTCACCATTGCAACTCATGATGCTGATCCAAGGCAGACTGGGTCCAGTGCTCACAGCACCCTAAAGAAACCCAAACCACACTCCTTGTTGAGAAGCACCGCTGTATAGAGAGATTTATTTGCTTTGCAAGTTCTATTGTCAGCATATAGAGGAAGAAGGGAATTAACCACATGTAGAAATATACACTGTGCATTGGTCAGTAACTGCTAAGTAAACAAATTTGGGGGCATTTATAAAACTAGTGTAGCCTTAAAGGATAAGTTCACCTTTTGCAACATGTTACATATTACACCCATATTCAGGGTGTAACATCTTATGATCGGACTGCACCCCGCGATTCCCTTTGACAGCTAGCAGGGGATATTCTCCTCCCCGCTAGCTGTCACAATTTTAAAAAAAACGTGGCCGTGTGGGGGCTCTGCCCGCCCGGCTGTGTCACTCATTCACAGTATTCTGTGAATGGGAAAACTACAAGTCCCAGCAGCCTTTGCAGCTGTCGGCTTGTAGTTTTCAATTAACTATCACGGCGCTCCACAGTGCCATTGGTAGTTCATTAAGCTTTCCTGTCAGTAAGTATCTGCTTGCATAAGCAAGCAGATATACTGACAGGTCACGAGGATACCTGCATGGCACCAGTGATCTGCTGATTACTGGTGCAATGCATTTAGAGGCTCCACAAACAAAAAATGACAAATGCACTTTTTTTTTTTACCTGCAAAAAAAAGTGCATTTATTATTTTAAGAGGTGAACTTATCCTTTTCAAGCCCTTCTCCTGGATAAATTTCCAGCAGTCACACGGGCACTGGTGATCTCGGTTTTCATTGTACCACTGGATTCGCAGTCCCCTTCACCTGCAAACTGTTGTAGTTAAGGACCTGGAGGGGAAACTTTTGATGAAATATATCTGGCTCAAAGTAAATAAAAGTGCCTAGTAGGATGTGTTTAGAGGTAGAAGAAGGGAGGGGTGGAAAAAACTTGCCAGGAATGTGACTTGAAAACTGGGTAATTTCTGTGATTTTACTAAAAATATGCAGCTTGGTAATTTTATTTAAGGCTCTTTCACACAGGCGTTGAAATTTGGCAGTTGGTTTGCGATTTTACCCCTTCCTGAACGCTTGTCAATGCTACTCAAAACTGTTAAAATTGGGAGCTGATGGATATGTTCACACTGTAGCATTAGCATTGTCTCACCTTGCACCTCCAGACACCCCCCCCCCCCCCCCCGCATCAAATACCTGCCATAATCCCGCTATAAGTCACTGATCGTGGCCATTACTAGTATATAAAGAAAAAAAAAAAATTGCAGTATATATACACCGCCATTTGTAGATGTATTTATTTCAGGTAGTTATATAGCGCCATCAATTTACGCAGCGCTTTACACATATATATTGTACATTCACATCAGTCCCTAACCCTCAAGGGTGTACAATCTAAGGTCTCTAACTTACATTCATACATACACAAATTAGGGCCAATTTAGACAGGATCCAATTAACCTACCAGCATGTCTTTGGAGTGTAGGAGGAAACCCGAGTACCTGGAGGAAACACACGCAGGCACAGGGAGAACATGCAAACTCCAGGCAGGTGGTGCCGTGGCTGGGATTCGAACCAAGGATCCTAGTACTGCCAGGCGGAAGTGCTAACCATTTAGCAACTGTGCTGCCCATTTACAGCATATTCAGCATGATTCCAGTATTCCCTGCATCACTTTTTTTTTTGTCCTGCATATAATTTGCATTATAACTTTCACGTAAACCAATTAATTTAGATGTATTGGGTTTTTTTTTTTTGGTTTGTAGCCAGAACATGTAACAGAATACAGTTTGGCCTAAATTTATGATGAAATCTTGAGATATAGATATAGATTTATATATATATATATATATTTTTTACTGGATGTTTTACAGCAAAAAGCAAAAATATGGGTTTTTTTTCCTCCAAAGTTGTCGGTATTTTTTTGTTTATAGCGCAAAAAAAAAAAAACCCAGAGGTGATCAAATATCATCGAAAAAAAGCTCCATTTGTGGGGGGTAAAAAAGGACATAAATTTCATTTGGGTGCAGCGTTGCATGACTGCAGAATTTTCATCTGCCGTATCGCAAAAAATGGCTTGGTCAGGAAGGGGGGTAAATCCTCTGGAGGGCAAGTGGTTAAATACCTGAAAAAAATAGATGAAAAAAAAATAAAATAATTTAGTTTGTTTTTGTGTGCCTTTTCAGTTTAGCTAGGTTCTGTTGTTTGGAGATAGAAAGACCTCTGCTGGTCACAATCAGTAATGTTCAAAGGACAAGTGTTTCGCTGTTGAATACCAGTCTGTATTGCCCCTTGATGAACAGGTCATTTTTAGTTTTCAAGTAACAGTATAACAAAAATAATTTATGTATATTTCTTTTTTTTTTTATTATTTTGAGACAGACCGGGCTTTCTTTTGATGGCATTTGATAACCATCAGATTGTACTAAATAAAACAAAGATTTTGAAAAAAAAAAAGTGGTTTCCTTACATCTGCATCTGCAACTGGGAGGATGACTGCTTTGTTTACGAACAGTCCTCTACCCTGTCAGCTTGGGCACACTGCTCTGGATGCACAGCACAGCCATTCAGAGCAGTGTGATTACAGTAAAGCCCATACACACCGCCCCCTATGTAAAACACTCCCTGCACACAACCTTTTGATCGCCCCTGATATGAACCCTTTCCTGCCCAGTGCCATTAGTACAGTGTCAGTGCTTTTTTTTTTTTTTTTTTTTTTTTTTTAGCACTGATCACTGTTGGTGTCACTGGGGATGTCAGTGATACCAAGTCAGAATGCCCGCCGCAGTCCCACTATAAGTCGCTGATCACCACCATTACTAGTTAGAAAAAAGAAAAAAAATTCTAGTATCTATACCGCCATTTGTAAACGCTATAATTTTCACATAAACAAATTAATTTACACGTATTGGGATTTTTTTTTTTAGCAAAGACATGTAGCAGAATACATTTTTGATCAAATACCACCGAAAGAAAGCCCAATTCATGGGAAAAAAAGGACGTAAATTTAACTTGGGTGCAGCATTGCATGACTGCGCAATTGTCAGTTAAAGTAACGCAGCGCCGTAATGCAAAAAATAGCCTGGTCAGGAAGGGGGGTAAATCCTCAGGAGGGCAAGTGGTTAAAGAGAACTTGAAAAGATAGAAGAATGGAAGCTCCCTTTGCGGTTTGTTGTTTCCGAGAGGCAAACTGCAAAGCTGTGATCCTGATCCACTACCTAGTGAATCACTGACCTGGAACAAGCTTGCAGACAGACTTAACACTCTCTTTTTCGGCCAGAACCTTTTTCGAAATTGTCAACTTCACAATTTTTACTGTATCATATGTAAAGTTATTGTCAATATACTTAACTGTACATGACAAATGCTGGATACTCAGTCTATGGGTTAGGGGTTGCTACCTTCAGGTGATTGGATACTGGAAAGCAATTTGGGGATTGGAGAGTTTCTATGCTTAATTAGTTCTTATTTACTCCAAATTCTTCAGTTAACTCTTCAATCAACCTCTTCAATGTAGTCTACTCCAACAGTAGCATCTGGATCGGTGCAACCTCAGTGAAAAAGATGATCACAATGGTAAAAACCAGGCGCAAGGCAATCGCAGTGGACGATTTCTTACCCTCAGCCTCTCATACATCTGATGCTATGGCTTCATGCAGTATCGTGCCAGTATAAATGTTTATTTCTGCTGTGCACAAAAGCCTTTAAATAGTCAGATTTGATTCTCCCCATTCTCACCAAGCCCCAGTGTTTACCAAGACACCTGCAGGTCTAAAAGGACATATCCTATTCATGTACAATAGAATGGGCAATTTATGACAATTGGGTTTATCCCGAAAATGCTGCAATTTCTGTTTGTCAAATCACAGCTGATTGAACTAGAGCAAAGAAAACTCAACACAATCCTGACTTTCAGGAATTAACTCTGGCGAAACACTCGCAAACACTGCTTTCTGCTTTACCACCTGTCGTAACCTCCATATCCCCCCTCTTCAGGGACTTTTACCTCCTCGGAATGCCACATTACTCTTCTCGAGGCTTCATTTTTAAAGTCTAAATTCAGCTTTTTTTCAGTGTGAGACTTGGCACACAATGCCCACCAAGTCTTCACAACGAAGTGGTGCCCTCACTCCTAAGAGTGAGATGATGTCTGTTAGTTTGCATCCTTATGATGTCCGATAAAGTGTACAATCGGTGGTTTCAATAGGGTACAAAATAGAGTTTAAAATTTGACTCCTACTTTGGTTTCTTCTCTCAAACAAACCAGAATCTGCCAGTCAGGACATACAGATTTACAAATCAGGGAGTGGTTGCTCCAGTCCATCTTGAGGACAGGTTTAACCTCCCTGGCGGTATGATTGTCAGGACTTTTTGTACCAAAGCGGTACCATTTTTTTGCATGGAAATATGTATTTTTTTTATTGTAGGCCTGTAATTTAGGAATAACTCCATGAAATCTGTCCGAACAAGAGTCTAGTAAACATTCCGGATATGATAAAACTTGAAACACGAAATCATAAATTATAATTTAATAAATACTCATAAAAAATAATATAATAATAAATTTAATTCAATAATATAATCAAACCAAAAACACTGAAATTTGAAATATAGCGCCAAGTTCGCACATCACTGAGCAAAGTCGCAAAATCGTTTTCAGTGTCTGATGACGAATTTCCCCCATGAATCATTATCACTCAATTCTGCAAGTAGTTCTGATTTACTATCGCTGTTCTCTAGCCGGTCTAAAGCCGATTTTGACCTAAAGGGACGCTTTTTGGACGCCGTGGTTCCAGGTTTCCAGGCAGAAAGAACAGTCAAAATGCAGACAGGGCACAGGACAAAGCAGTAGGGACAAAATGTATGTGAAATGCTTTGATACAGGAATGTTTTGCTATGAAATAATAGTTTTAAAAAAAGTCAATGACTTTTTAAATTTTCAAATTTGCCGCCGGTTCCGGCGCCCGTACGTCCCGACATCACAGGGACCGGAACACGGAAGCCGGATGCCGGCATTGGCCGGAGGAGATGGCCGGGGACGCTGCAGGGGATGCATCGTGGGAGCGAAGTACAAGGTAAGCGCTGTAGGGAATCCCTGTGCAACGCCGCATGGTAAGCCCGAGTGTAGCTCGGGGTTACCGCTTTTGGTACTGAAACTTTACCCCGAGCTACACTCGGGAATACCGCCAGGGAGGTTAAGGGATTCTATTCAAACCGGTTCACGGTAACAAAATTCAACAAGAGTTTCTGTCCTATCTTGAACTTAAAATCCCTAAACCAGTATTTTACATTCACAAGTTTCACATGGAATTCGCAAGGTCATTTCTTGCCTTTTGGCATCAGTAGACATTCAAAATGCCTACCTCCACATTACCATTTACCCAGCTCTTTGGTGCTTTCTACACTCAGTAGTAGGAGACAAACCGTTCCAATTTGTAAACTATTTGGCTTTTTCTTTGCATCCATACTATATCATGCACCAAGGCGAACCAGGAGTCAGCCAGCCTTGAATGAAGTAAGTCTGTTCATCTCTAGGATAAAAAAGCACTGCCCAGCAATCTCTGCTGCTCGCATCCTGGGAGTGGATAATTGGAAGACAGATTTCCTTGTCGTCTGGATCAACGAGAATGGTCCTAACACCTTTAATCCACTATGTCAGAAATGGGGGACCCCAGATGTGAACATCCTTGCCTCCAGGTTCAACAAGAAGTTATTGTTCATGGCCAAGATGAAGGATCTTCTAGCTCTGGCCCCATGGGCTCCGTTCCGGTTAATAATAAACTTCTCTCCAGTGTGGAATGTTCCTCGACTGCTCTGCAAGATAGAGGAGAGGAAGAAGTCATATTCCTATTGCACCAAACTGACCCAGAAGAATCTTGTATGCAAGCATACTGAAACTCTTAGGTGATGACCCCTGACTTCGCCACACCTGCTTTCCCAAGGCTTCCCATTCCATCCTGCTTCTCAATCAGTGGCTTTAATGGCAATGCTGTTGAAGGACAGGGGTGTAAACATTTTATGATTTTGGTTGTAACATGACAAAATGTGGAAAATTTCAAGGGATATGAATATTTTTTCAAGGTGCTGTATTTTATTGAGATTTTATGTGCTTTACCAACACAAAGTGGCACATAATTGTGAAGTGGGCAGAGAATGATAAATGGTTCTCATCATTTTTTACAAATAAATATCTGAAAAGTGTGGCGTGTATTTGTATTCAGCCCCTCTTGAGTCAATACTTTATAGAACCACCTTTCCCTGCAATTACGGCTGCAAGTCTTTTTGGGTATGACTCTACCAGCTTTGCACATCTAGAGAATGGAAATTTGTGCCCTTTCTTCTTTGCAGAATAGCTCAAGTTCTGTCAGATTGGATGGAGAGTATCTGTGAACAGCAATTTTCAAGTCCTGCTACAGATTCTCAATTGGATTTAGGTCTGGGCTTTGACTGGGTCATTCTAACACATGAATATGCTTTGATCTAAACCATTCCATTGTAGCTCTGGCTGTATGTTTAGGGTTGTTGTCCTGCTGGAAGGTGAACCTCTGCCCCAATTTCATGTCTTTTGCAGACTAGCAGGCTTTCTTCTAAGATTTCCCTGTTTTTGGCTCGATCCATCTTCCCATCAACTCGGACTAGCTTCCCTGTCCCTGCTGAAGAAAAGCATCCCCACAACATGATGGTGTGTTCAGAGTGATGTGCAGTGTTAGTTTTCTGCCACACATGAACTCTTTTGCCAAAAAGCAAAACTTTAATTTTGGTCTTCCACATTTGCTATGTCCCCTACATGGCTTCTCACAAACTGCAAACAGGATGACTTATGGCTTTCTTTCAACAATGACTTCTTGCCACTCTTCCATAAAGGCCAGATTTGTGGAGTGCACAACTAATAGTTGTCCTGTGGACAGATTCTCCCACCTGAGCTGTGGATCTCTGCAGCTCCTTCAGAGTTACCATGGGCCTCTTGGCTGCTTCTCTGATTAATGCTCTTCTTGCCCGGCCTGTCAAGTTAGGTGGACAGCCATGTCTTGGTAGGTTTGCAGTTGTGCCATACTGTTTCCATTTTCGGATGATGGATTGAACAGTGCTCCGTGAGATGTTCTAAGCTTGGAATTTTTTTTTTTTATAACCTAACCCTGCTTTAAATAAACTTCTCCACATATTTATCCCTGACCTGAGTGTGAGTTCCTTGGCCTTCATTATGCTGTTTGTTTACTAATGTTCTCTAACCTGAAGGTAGCAACCTATAATCCAGGGTCTAAGAATATTCAGCCTGCATCAAAAATTCTTTCTTGTCTAGTTGTGTGTGTGCTTTTGTGTTTTGTTTTTTTTTTTTTTTGCATTTTTTGAAAATATTACTTAGATTTCTTTTTCTGTTTTCATCCAGGGGTAGATTATTACACGGACGACACTTTACTTATAAAAGTATTACAGGGGACACGGCCATCACTTTTGTCTCTACGGGGGTCGAAGGAGCATTTGCTACAGAAGAGCATCCATATGCAGCACACGGGCCTTGGCTGCAAGTAAGCAAACACCCTTACTAACCTTATAGATTAAATTCTCACGTTAAAGTAGACCTACAATCATCTAATATTTACAAAATTCAGATAATTCATTTTATTGTACTACTGTATTTATTACTATAGCACTCTCTTTTATTGAGAATTAGTAGCCGACACTTTCTTCCATGTCGAGCTGTGACTGTAAGTTCAGTTTGTTTTTAACCTCATTTCCAGCTGGGTAGGCATAAAGCATGCTGAAAGAGCTAGAAGGATCCCAAAGTAGATTTAATCACGTTCTGTGTCATGTAATGAGTTGCTCATGGCAACTTAATAAAGGGAGATGTATAGAAGAAACTGCACAATCCTAATGCTGAACTTCGGGGAGAAGTATGAATTATGTATCTTTAGAAAATCTCTGATGTCATCAAATAGTCCTTAAAATTCCTCTTCTTAGTACTAATTTGGTAAGGTGTTTGCAGTGCTCTCTACATGTATCTTGTAGGCATGTACTGTAAAATTAAATTTTCCTTCTCCGTCCATGCAGAGGACTGGTTGTAGGCAGTGTAGCTGGCTGTGCTGTGGCAGTGACAGGGGTGGGGAGAACTCACCACCATCACTAATGTAGTATAGACTTACCAGCATTGCTGGTTCTTAACTGGTGAGGTGTGATGTGCTCACTGTGTAACACTGCACATATCTGTCATCCAACCAGTGTAGTCAGGTAGAGAAGGTGAATCCTTTTCTGTCAGCAGTGTGCAGAGGCTTTTCTCACTCTGCCTCTGCTAAACTGCTCATAGATGTGTGCAAAAAGTTTTAGTAGCAGCAGTTTCAACAGTCTAAGGATTCTAACAGTGTCTTAGAATCCTATTAATCACCTTGTAAGCCATTGTTTCACTAGATGTTAAGAGAAATGAAGCCTCTACCTGTACCTCTTCTGACAGTGGAGGGTTCGCCTGCTCTGCCCAGTACACTGATCAGTTATCTGTATACAAAGCATTGGGTCAGAGTGCATGAAGGCTTCACTTTCATCTGTGTGCACATGGCTATGGCACAGAGTAGAGCAAGTTGGCTGCTGTTTAGTGTAGCAGGTGAGGGCAGGCAGAAAAAAACCTGCGTATTGCTCTGACAGGCACCACCTAGTTTAGGCAGTGACTATGTCACACTGCCTGCACAGAACTTCTAGGGTCAATGAAGTATTGGGTCATTCAAGCATAGGTTGCCTTCTAGGATGACTGGATTCCATAACAGGAAATGCCTTGCTGCTGGAAATGTTGTGCTCATTTTGCTCTTTTTACTAGGATGAACAACAAATACAGCAAAAGCCAGCTGCAGATTAAAGTGGTTGTGAAAAAAAAAAAAAAGCACTGGCTCTTTAAGTTAGTTAAATGTCATCTATTATATCAGTGATATATTTCTGCCAGCCGATGTACTAATTTACCTGGTTGATCCTGCCCACTCTGCTCCTCCTACAAGCAAACTGACCCTGCTAGCATGGCAGCTGCTACATGCTGGCGGGGTCAGTTTACGAGCTGCTGCCATCCCACTGAAGATACAGGCGTGCTATATCTTCAGTAGTCAGTACATACCCTCGCCCCCATCCTTCCTTGATTGACAGCGCATCCCCCTTCAGGGGGAAGTGACATTATGCCGCCGGGACTGACTGCGTTCCATTTCCATGGAAACACAGAAGCTTGGTGGCAGTGTCATTAACTATAATGACGTATATAAGCCAGCAATACACACACACTCACCAGCAGGTCTGTGCATTGCCGTGGAAGCAACATCGATCACGTGATCTGCAGTTTAGAAGCTGAAGAAAATGAAAAAAAAAACTGAGCACACTATCAAATATAAGCTTCATTTTGCCTAAAAGTTATTTTAGCTGTAGCAAGCTATACAACCACTTTAAGGTATGTTACATGCAGGTGACATGCATACATTTATATGGCTGGAGTGTTGTTCTGAAAAAGATGAGCGCTGTTCCTGCAGATACTTTAATCCCAAAAGCAAACATTTATTATATTGCAGCTTGCCAATTCTTAGATGTGCTGGCTGTATTCGTTACGTTTTTTTTTTTATACTTTTCTTTCCTTTTTATTTTCACCTGAAGATTTGGCCAGCAAGTCTGTTTTTTTTTCAACAGAAAAAGTTCTCTTTCAAATGTAGCAGTGGCAGGGATGAGACAAATTATTTACCACCGACGGGGTTGCTTACATTGATCAGCTTTTAATTATGTGAAACCTTTATCCTAAAAGGAAAAAGTGTTGCTGTAACGGTTTATAAAATGTGAGCTGGAGTTTGGTTTCATTTTGTTATTGTATCTAAATCTGCTAGTACATCTAACATGGCCCTCACAATGCTGCTGTGCAAAGGGGCCCCCTTGTGACTTCATCCACAGTGGGGGCACACTAATACTGAGTGAAAACAAAGAGAATAAGGCCTAAAAAAAACTAAGGCAGCCATCACATCTAATTATCTGTAAGCTGCAATATAAAACGTGTTTGGTTTTGAATTTAATATGTTGTATTGCACAGTTAACATGTCTATTTTAAAGAGATACTGCCATCTTCCCAAAGCTGGGCAAAGTTAAAGAGCATCTCTGAAATGGCTCTTCTTAGACTCTCCTTCCCTTTACTCCCTCACAGTTCTTCCTGTTCAGCAGCTGCCTGTGAAATCAGTGATGTCAATGTCGGTGATATCACTCCCCTGGTCATTTGACCATACTCTAGCCTATCAACTGGCTACTAGACCCAAGCATTATCACAAGGGAGCAGGTCACGTGCTCCTCCATATCCAGCACAGCACGCGACCTCCCCTGTGATAGACAATAGATGATCTATCTCTTTTCATATAGTGTGTGTGATAGATGGATGCATGTATATGTGTGTATGTATATGTGTGTGTATGTATGTATGTATATATGTATGTGTATATGTATGTGTGTATATGTGTGTATATATATATATATATATATATATATATATATATATATATATATATATATATATATATACACACACACACACACACACACACACAAAATGTTTTGCTTTCATTTCTATTTTAAATTGAATGGGTCGTTTTACAAGATAACGAGTCACATATACTTTAATCATAGCTGTGAGTTGTAAAATGAGATCCTGCAGCATTTTTAGGCAAATTTAGAAGAAGCAAGACTTGATTTTTTTTTTCTACGTTCCTGGTTACTGAAGGCTACAGTATGGCCTTTCACGTTGGTTGGAACACTAAGAATCCTCAGTGATGTATCCAAAGAACAATTTTCAATTACAAGTGGTACAGTCTAGAAAAACTATGGCGATCTTCGAGTTTTGCACAGATAGGTTTACGTCCTCCCTTGCTGCTGAAAGTTAGATCAAATAGTTGCCAATTATATAGAAACCTGAGAATAAAAGGCTGAAACTGTTTTATCTCTTCAGATTTTGTTGACAGAGGAGCTGGTGGAAAGGATGCTGGAAGACTTAGAAGATTTAAGCTCTCCAGAGGAAGTAAGCTCTCATTTGTATAAGTGAGGGGGAGGAAAGGCTTCTTTAAACCGCCAGCCTTTCTGCAGTCACTGCAGCCGGAGGCCTTTTCTTCAAACATGGGAACTTGCTGGAGTGTGCCATTTCTCCTGTTCAGTAACAGGGTCACGCATTCATAATTATTCATTTATTAACCCATGTTAAAGACTCGTAAGCCTGCAAGCTGAATACATAACAAAGTAGTAATATCACTGGAAGGTTTGATGCCTGGTATGTAATAGAGCCTCATTTGCTCTATTAAAGAAATTATAACTTAGAAAAATGATGTTACTGCTAAGGGTATTAATAACATTGCTGATCTGTGATGAATTGAATTACAGAACGCTCTAAGGAGTCTTACTAGAGTGTCAACGGCATCCACTCCCATCTGAGAACACTCAGATTTATGTGTCCTGAGGATGGTGGGGATTTCAAAGACAATGCAGAATAGATTCATAATGCACTGAGAGGGAACAAATGTACTTACAATTGCTGTGCTTCCCTCTAGCGGTCAGAAATTGCACTGCACCTGTTAAATGCATGTTGCCAATTGAAGATGAGCACCCTGTGAAAGTAAATTAAGTGTTCCAAATATGTGAATCCATTCATTGCAAATTTCTTTACAAACCTATAACAGAGCTTTTTGACCCTAAAGGCGAACTGCACAGTGCTTTAGGAACTAGAGAATGAATAACACTGTAAAATAATTGCATGACATGCATGCTGATCCAGTGTGTAACCTCCCCCATATACATTGTTTTCATTAATAAAACACTACATTAATATGCTAGTGTGATAAATGCAACACTGTCAGTTTTATCTCAATTATCTTTCCTGTTTGTTTCCTGTGCTATCAGTTTACATGTTCCCACTTTCTAACCCCCACTTTCCTTTCCACTTACCCTTAACTGCTGTGCTGAAATGTCCCAAGGGGTGCCAAATGATTCCTGTTACACACAAAAGCGTTGGCATGGAGATAATTGATTATGAGCATAGGTGCTGAAACTCTTGCATTCATGTTATGAAGGTGTCTGAAGGAACAGATTTCTGTCTGTGCTTCCCCAAAGCAGCCAATCACATATTTGGTTTTGTTCTCCAATACTGTAAAAGGGAGAATGTTTAGGAAGGACTCTTGATTGTCAGTGTCTGAGGTATAAATTTTCATATACATTTTGCTGACCACGGGATGTGACTAGAATAATGGGCACTGTGTTTGAATTAAATTAATTTTCTTTCTCGGCCATTGAGGAACAAAGGAATTCCTATAGTCAGGTTGTACTGCCACCTACAGGAAGATTGGACACTAGCAAACAGAAATATTGTAAGCCAGTTTATAGTATACTCTCGTGTGAAATGTGTCCTTCACAGTAACGCTGTAAATAAAAAAACAAACAAATATTCACAAAAACATGAATCATTAAACAATTTGAGATTCTTAATCAAACAAGTACATGATATCAATTGAGTGCAGAATTAAGTGCTTCAATTGTCGCCATAAAATTGCTGCTTTATATCCCAAAAAACACCACCATGTCCTCATGAGAAATAACTCCCTTTTAGGAATTCACTCATCAGACATACATGCCTCCCACTCTCATGGTTGGCATGATCGCTTATGAAACTCCACGTAAGATCTCTGAAGTATAAAACCATCATAGAGCCATGGAAAGAGAAAAAATAAATAATCTCCAATGGTACAGTTAGCAATAAACCAACATGCAAAACTTTATTAAGAATTAAAAAGCCACTCATAAAGTGCATAAATAAAATCACTCCTCATATACATCTATGGAATAGCGTCAGGTATGGTCATCTAGTAATAACGCTCACCACCCCTGGCCTATTCGGACCACACTATTGTGTTACTTTTGATATATTGATATTTATACACTGCTCAAAAAAAAATTAAAGGAACACTTTGAAAACACATCAGATCTCAATGGGGAAAAAGTATCATGCTGGATATCTATGTTATGGACTGGGCAATGAGTTAAGAACAAAAGGATGCCCCATTGTTTGATGGAAATTAAAATTATCAACCTACAGAGGACTGAATTCAAAGACACCCCGAAAATCAAAGTGAAAAAATGATGCAGCAGGCTAGTCCGTTTTGCTGAAATTTCATTACAGCAACTCAAACTGTTACTCAGTAGTTTGTATGGCTCCCACGTGCTTGTATGCATGCCTGACAACATCGGCACATGCTCCTAATGAGATGACAAGTGGTGTCCTGGGGTATTTCCTCCCAGATCTGGACCAGAGCATCACCAAGATCCTAGACAGTTGCAACCTGGTAGCGTCAGATGGACCGAAACATGATATCCCAGAGGTGTTCTATTGGATTTAGATCAGGCAAGTGTGGGGGCTGTACAATGGTATCAGTTCCCTCATCCTACAGGAACTGCCTGCATACTCTCACCATATAGGCCTGGGCCTTGTACACCAGGAGGAACCCAGGACCCACTGCACCAGCATAGGGTCTGACAATGGGTCCAAGGATTTCATCCCGATACCTAATGGCAGTTAGGGTGCCATTGTCTAGCCTGCAGAGGTCTGTGTGCCCCTCCATGGATATGCCTCCCCAGACCATTACTGACCCACAACCAAAATGGTCATGCTGAACAATGTTACAGGCAGCGTAACGTTTTCCACGGCTTCCCCAGACCCTTTCATGTCTGTCACATGTGCTCAGGGAGCACCTGCTCTCATCTGTGAAAAGCACAAGGTGCCAGTGGTGGACCTCCCAATTCTGGTGTTCAATGGCAAATGCCAGTCGAGCACTATGGTGCTGAGCAGTGAGCACAGGGCCCACTAGAGGACATCAGGCCACCCTCATGAAGTCTGTTTCTGTTTGGTCAGAGACATTCACACTAGTGTCCTGCTGGAGGTCATTTTGTAGGGCTCTGACAGTGCTCATCCTGTTCCTCCTTGCACAAAGGAGCACATACTGGTCCTGCTGATGAGTTACGAACCTTCTATGGCCCTGTCAAGCTCTCCTAGAGTAACTGCCTATCTCCTCCATGCTGTTGAGACTGTGCTGGGAGACACCGCAAACCTTCTGGCAATGGCACGTATTGATGTGCCATCCTAGAGGAGTTGGACTGCCTGTGCAACCTCTGTAGGGTCCAGGTATCGCCTCATGCTACCAGTAGTGACACTGACCCTAGCCAAATGCAAAACTAGTGAAAAACAGTCAGAAAAGGTGAGTAGGGAAAAAAATGTCAGTGGCCTCCACCTGTAAAATCATTCCTGTTTTGGGGGTTGTCTCATTGTTGCCCATCTAGTGCACCTGTTAATCAGTTTCAGCTGCTTTGCTGTTAATGAAATTAACAACCCCCTCTGCTACTTATCTGGACCAGATCAATATCTCAGGAGTTTAATTGACTTGATGCTATACTCCTCTGATTAAAAAGTGTTCCTTTAATTTTTTTGAGCAGTGCATTTGATATATTGATGTAATGCGGCAAGTTTATGGATCACTTAATTCTGCATTCAATTGATATAATGGACATATTTGATTAAGAAACACTAATTGTTTAATGATTTATGTTTTTGTGCATATTTGTTTTTTTTATTTACAGCGCTACTGTGAAGGACACATTTCACATGAGAGTATTAATTTGATTTTTATATAAGGTGGCAGCTGTTGTTTGTATTTTAATTGTAGTTTATTTGTCATCTAACACTTTATGTACATCATTTAAATAAGGTGGTGCACAGATTTATAATTTTTTTGCATTTTTGAACCATTTTATTTTTGGACACTCATTTAGCGTGGAGGCTACACATATAGACAGTTTATAGTATAACCTCTCCTCTACCCAATTTTTTTTTTTTTTTTTGCCAGTATTTTGTGAGGGTGGAGGTCTTTTCTCCAGCTCTGCTGAGAAAAGTCTAGCAGTTTTTGTGTTAGCCTGTTTCCTTCATTTTTGTATTCATGGTTTCCTCTTTCATTGTCTTCAATCAAGATTCCTAACCACACTGATGCTTGAGCTGGTCTCTACATAGCAACTATCTGGATGAGCGTTTTCTCAGCTAGGCTTTGGAGGCTGTGCCCAGACTGCTGGACTGGATGCGCAGGCTTAGCCTGGAATGTGATATTCAGGCACTGGGTTCTGCATTGTGGTGCTTTCCAGACCTGAGTGTACTGGGTAAGTTGGCTGCAGAGTCCTTTCCAAGTACAGAGCTGTGGCACAGCCCCAATTGGGACCTTGTCAGTTTCAGTTTGAGATTTAGACCGGACTGGGTACAGTACTGTGAACTTGCCTCTAGCTGCACTATTGGGCATCCTTTCATATCTCCTGCTACCACAGGTTTCATCATGGTAAAGGTTAACACTGAGGGGCTGAGCACTGACCTCATCCACTGGTTGGAGTGATATGCTCTCACTATTTCTCCCATCATTCAGCTTAGGGGAAGCACAATCCCGCTGCAGATTCTGTTTGCACAGACCCTCCTACAGTGAACCCGGTCACCTCCAGCAGCCTGACCCTCATCAGTCCCAGCTGCCTTGGGTTTTGTTAGTACCTGAAACCTTGCCCTGAACTTTGGGCCTAATTGCATTACTGTTGCTCAGCCTCAGCAGCTCTGCACAGAGAGGCAAAACAGTCCCATTGCTATGATTGACCCCAGCCCATACTTCCTCAGAGGGAACTGGCTCCTGTAATTTTGAACCTGGTGCCCTAGTGTTACAAGGTCTTTTTCACTGGAGTCTTCCTGAATCATGTTGGGTTAAACCGAGTCCCCTGCTCTTGTCTCCAGGGACCTCTGCATCCACTAAGGATTTATTTAACTAAATGTGCTCACTCATGTAAAGGCTCTCAACACACTCGCTGTGTAGTCTCTCTGACATTCCAGAGGCCTAAGATCAGACTGGACCACTGGTTCTTGCGACAATATCCGATTCTGAGTTCCAACAGTCTATTTCTAAAGAGACCCTCTTTGAGGCATTGCAGTCTTGGGTCCTGACCTCAGAATTAACAGGAGGTTGTCTTGGACCTTATTGGTGCAGTGTTCACTAACCTGCATTTGGAGGATCAGTCTGCTGTCCCCAGTATTGTGTCTTTTAGAGCTTCTCCAGTTGCAAAGACTTTCTTTTGCTATATGAAGCATTCCCCTGTGCTGACTTGAAGCACCCTGAGGGATCATGGGCCCCACATGAGTGTGCTGGAAATGTTTAGTAAACATTGGATTGTTTCCACTGTGAGTCAACCTGCGTACCACTTTAACAGGAACGCCATTAGTCAGGTGGAAGGCACATGCTCACCTTTAAAAGAGTCTACTGCCAGGCAATTAGAATCCTTCCTCAAATCCCAGTTTGAACAGGTTGGTTCTGCCCTCTGTCCTGTGTCGGCAGTCATCTTATTCTGTCAGATCATGACAAAATAGGTTAATTACCTCTTATGCTACAGTTAGATGGCTTGTTACATGCATGAAAACTTATATTCCGCATGGGTGTAATGTCCAATCATATGTGCAGGGCACTGTGGTTGTGCTATCAAGATGCTGATGACCTATCTGTAGAGCATCTGCCTTGATTGGCCATCAAATGTTGTTGCCTCTTTTTTACCCTGTGTTGGACATCATAGTCAGTAATGTCATGAGAAGCTAGAGTGCACTTTGGCCCCAATGTAGAAGGTCTAATGATAGGATTGTTGAAACCCCCAGCATTGATTTCAAATAACGTGAGGTAAGACATGCAGTGCATCCAAAGAAGGCTACTGGTCCTGGAGTTTCTGGACAGTAGATAAAACTTGTGCTGACCAACTTGTAAAACCCCCAGCATCAGCTCGGTTCCAAAAACAGAGTTTAAATGTTATTGGCTGAATGCACTCACTTCAGTTAATGCGAACCAACCATATACTGTTAAAGTGGGCCCTCGTTCTTTCTATACTCTTATGCTAAGTGCTGGTTCATCACAGGGTTGATTGTGGAGTCCTCTGTTCTATGCTTTGTACACCTATGATTATACTGCAATTCACTCTACGAATACTAATCTTAAATTTGCAGATGTTACCATGGTGGCTGCTCTTACTAAGGATTGGGAAGAGGTTCAGAAGCTGGTTGGGTGATGGTAGAAAAAAAATCTGACCTTAAATATTGAGAAAAAAAATACTGATTTTTAGGAAGTGCAGAGCAGATTTGTCCCAATATAAGAGAATGAATCAGAATACGGCACGCTCTTCCTAAAGCTAAAATTTACTATAACCACTGTCCCCAATATAATCAACTAGTCTTACATTCTGTGTAATGTAAAAAAATCAAAACACATTATAGTCCCCACAACATGTGACTCCTCCTTCAAATCGTATATCTTCCCTTTGTTTCTGTGCCCCCAGTGTGAATAAACCCTCACCACATATTTGACCTTTATGTATCAATGGGTCAAATCAGGCTCATCTTGTCTTCAGATGTCTCCCTCCTTGCCGAAAATCCCCAGATATTACACTTTTTTGTTATGGTATTCTAAGCATCTGCAGCAAAAAACAAAAATACTACAACCTGCATAGGGTAGCGTATCATATTAACCTGTGTAAAACAAAAAATTATGCTTACAGTATTTATAAACACTGCTTCCAAAATAGTGCTATATATGCCTGTGCAAATCTATTCCACATTCACCATTGTGCTGGTACCCCATACAGATGGATTCTCAGCAGAATCTGCGACCCACAGTTCTCCTAGGGTCCAAACAGGCTCAGTACACAGGGACACACTTGCTCACTTCTTGTGCTGCAAACTCACACCAAACGTTCCCAGTGTCCCTCAGATTATTCAAGAGAATAGTAGGGGACAACACCATTTATAGTGTTAGTAGGATTAAAAACTAGTGTTTCAAAATCCTCTTGGAAGAAGTCACATGACAAAATATGTGGGGGACGTGTTGTCATGTGCATGGGCAGAAACTGGAAGTCAGTGATCTGCCATATTTGTTTTACTATCATATGCTGTTTTTATCTTCTAGACTTTTTATTAAATAAACAGTGGATTTTAATCCTACACTATGAGCTGTACGTGGGCTGGCTTAATTGTTTCATGTGTGCCAGTGTGCATTCCTCCTGTAGGTACAAGTATAACCAAAGTGCATCTGGATTTGTGTCCCTCAATAAATTGTGTTTTTAAAGCTGAGGTTTAGTTTTAAAAAAATTCCTGTGTTTATGACAAGATTTGCCACAATAAAGAATTAGAAAAACAAGCCTTACAGCTTTAGTCACATCACTTACCTGTAATGAAGTATGCCCTACACATGTGCTGGCAGCTGGATCCTGGAGAAATCCTCATTTCAGGGATGCCTGTCCTCTTGTCTCTGTACTTTGGACGCTTCAATAGTTGACATATCCCTGACAGACTATCTGTACAGCTGTTCTGCATAAAACCTAAACCTGTTAAAGGATAAGTTCACCTTTTGTAACATGTTGCATTTTACACCTATATTCAGGGTGTAGCATATTACTGTTGGACTGGCTCCCACACCCCCTGATTTCCTGTTGTGACAGCTAGTTGAGGATCTTCATCCAACCCCAGTCCCCATCACCCATTAGCTTTCAAAGTTGTAAAAAAGAAGTGCGGCCAAGCGGGGCTCAATCATTTATTCACAGAGTGCTGTGAATGGGAAACTACAAGTCTCGTCCTCCTTTGCGGCTGTCGGCTTGATGTTCTCAAGGAACTACCACAGCTCTGTTGAATGCTGTGGCAGATAATTGGTTCTTCCTGTCGGTATATGCCTAATCGTAAGAGCAGACAATTACATTGACAGTCTGCAGGGGTCCTGTATGGTACCAGCAATCTGCTGATCACGGGTGCAATGATTTCCAGGCTCCTAAAACAAAAAAAATAGTAAATGTACATTTTTTTTTTACTTGCAGATAATGTGCATTTTATTTTTGTGTTTGTGTGTGTTAGAAGGTGAACCTATAACTTTAATCAATGCAGTGGGGAAGTTCAGAGACAGGAAGGGGACAGGCATCCCTGCAGTGAAGATTTCCCTAGGAACCAAATGCCTATACAACCTGGTTGTTTATGTGAAACTGTGTCTGTCAAGGACAATGTCTTTGCTGTATTGACTGCACACCATATCAGAGAGATAAAGGTACACATTGCACTTTGACCATGGATAATAGGGCACGAGTTCTGCAGTAACACTTAAACCTCATAAGCTTTATGATTTTTTTTTCCCTCACCTTTTAAAATGGTAGCTTACTGCCTTTAATGTTCTCACTTCCCAGATGAAATTGCCAAAGGAGTACAGCTGGCCAGAGAAGAAGCTAAAGATTTCCATTCTTCCGGATACCGTATTTGATAACCCACTACAATGAGGAAAAGGGCAGGACCAGCCAAGAAGCAGAAAGATGATGAACTCTGCCGCTTTCAGCACCGTTTATGGCTGTAAACCAAAGGAAAGCAGTTACTGCACAATCATCACTAGAAGAGACCGATAACACAACACTTGTGATATTTCAGCACCAGGACTGTATATCCTTACCTACGTGACTTGCTGAACTGATAGAACCCTGTTCTATTTCAGTACACAATTCTGTCAGTTAATGGCTTTCTCTGTGCTCATAAATGACACCCTTGTGACGTAGCCTCCACTTAACAAGTTAGTATTTAGCTAATGCTGTATTTCCCGAGTACATTGATTCTCGTATGACACTGGAACCTGCAAGTGGTCACAATGCTGGCTACAGGATTGTTCCATCGACTGACTTTCCACAATCGCAGTGTTACTTTTCAGTAGTTGAATATTGATTCTGTGTGATCCAGATAATATATACAATAACTGATGTGTGGGGGACTTTATCAGTATTCTGATTTTTATTGTGATTTAATTATATATTTAATACATAGATCTTCTCTAGTACTTGGAGAGATCGCTTTTCTTTCCCAACACTTTTAATTGGTCTCTCAGTTGTGATTCATAAATAGAGTATCAGATAAAAGTATTATGCAGGATATTGCAGACTGTGATCCGTGACTGGTTTCCTCATAAAAGCTCAGAATACGTTCTCTGCAAATGGGACCACGATGGACCTCAGTGTAGTGCTGAGCCATGGAAATGTTCGATTTGCCTCTTAGACCATTAAGTTCCAGTGCCTAATGGAGCAAGTCTATGTAGCTGGGTGAAATTGCTTGTTAATTTTTCACTCATAGACTCACATCAGGAAACCTTGAGGTCTGAATCACACATTCAGATTTTCCTTTAGTGCCTACAGTTAGATATTCAGATTCTATAGGGTCTGTTTTGATTTCATACTGTCAAGTTCCAGAGTGCTGCTATATGTGTATTGCTGCAAAGGATGCAGAAATCCCTCATTAGACTTATTTTACTTTGTTTAGGGCAAAGACCAGAAAGCTATAGCAAACCACTAGGATCTTGGTAAAATGAAGACCTATCAGTGACTAGTTACTCAGTTACTGCCCTTTCTTGATGGATGAGCCTGATGGCTTCAATTCTGAATAAACATACTAGATCATTATGTTCCTTGTAACCAGAGCTGGACTAGATTGCCACAATTAGGGTATAAGGGCTTTTCCTGCTTATTGCAACCAGATATTTCCTTTGTTCTTACAGCTTATAACTATAAATGAACAGAAGGGAGACTCTTGTAAAGCAAGTGCTGGTCTTTCTACAAACACTTTGTAATGTGTGCAAATGCCTAAAGCTGGCCATACATCTATACAATCTGTTTGTACAAACCTATTTTAGATTTACAAAAAAAATATGTAATAAGAAGACTAACCTAAGAAATCAATTTGTATCTAGTCAGATAGGCCCTTGTACTACATAAATGATGGTAGATCTAAAAGAGATTGCACAGACAAAGTGTATAGTGCATGGGCAGCCTTAGGCACCCCGTAGATAGTTTTTTTTTTTTTTTTTTTTTTTTTTTCCTCTCAACCTGTTGGTTGGATTAAAAAAAAAAAAAAGACTCTATTCTCCAATCCACACACTCAATGTGGATGGAGGAATCTTCCCTACTAAGATACTGTATTTTGAAAGCAGCAAGACTTACCCGATGTCAGAATACACTGAGCAGTGTTGCAGGCGGTACCCTGCAGAGCTGATTGAGCAGGGAAAATCCCACAGGGCGGCTGTACAGAAGTCAATTGGTAGAATGACTTCTGTACAACCTCCCTGCCCGTACACCGAAGTCTGGCCAGTACAGCAGGGACTTGCCAAATTTTGATCCTAGTATGGCCAGCTTTAGAGGTATTAAACTTGGATACATAATAAGATGGCTGTTAAACTGGAACCCAAGCCAGAATATTTCCTTTTTTAACCCTGGTTCACACTGATGCAAATTTGATGTGTTTCAGAACGTATAAATTCGCATGCCAAAGGAGATAACATTTCTTTCTATTGAAGTCGTTTACACCTATGTGTTCCAAACACTGTGATTTCCAAAAGGGTCCTGCGTGTTGTGGGATGCGGTACGTTTTTGAGCCCCATAGACTTGATAGGTGTTCAAATGCAATGTGATTTCTGTGCGAGATACACCAATTTCTAATGTCACAAAATTAACCAGAACAAAAATCACATCTGTGTAGAATTGCTGTACAATTGCACAGCAACTTCTCCTGAAAGCGCACTTGAATACTCACGTATCCATGTAACCAGGGCTCAGACTAGAGTAAGAACTCTCCTGTCAGGCATATTTTGCGGTTTGTGCTCATGTTAGGGAGGTTTCTACTTATTTCTTGTCGGGGATAGGAAGTCGAGACATTCTTCAGTGTGTAAAAAGACAGCAATAGTTGAAGAAGGAATTGGAAATTAATATTATGGTGTATGTCCCTGCTGGGCAGTTCTTCACTTCCCATCCAGTGATTGTGTGGTCACCACAAGGAAGTGAAGGGAAATCTCACTGGGGACACAGAAATTAAAGAAAAATTGAAATTCTTGCCCTTCCCCACAATACAATACCTGGCTAAGGTTACACATTAGGAGTACTTTAGGAACACTCGAACCATAGTGGTGTATATTTGTTGGCTACGTTTCAATACAAAAATTTAGCTTGCCACCAGAATAAAAAAATATTTGAGGTATGAAACAGCTGCCCTAGTGTGGGTTATGGGTAGACATAGTCCATATAAAACATTAACCTAGGTCAGCTTTTGGTGGTACCCTCCTAATACCCACTGTGCACAGAGTAATGTAGTATTATTATATATAACACTACATTGTTCAGTGGAATGTCAACCTGTTAAATAGTAATGGATTACCTCCCACAGCTTATATGGCTATGTTTGTAAGGCACTATGGGATGCAGTAGAATTGAGGGGGTTTTGGGCATAAGAATGCAATCGGAGGTACAGTGATCTTCATGGCTGTGTATGAGCCTTCGAATAGCCCCACACTAGCCTGTATCTTGAAGACAGAAATAAGCGCTAAGCTCCCCTTTATGTAGTAGCTCGTTATGAGGGATTTGTGTGTTCAGTGGTGGTATATTTTTTAGGTTGTAAGCTCTCAAATCCAAGGCTCTTCCTAACCGCTTGTCTTTTATTGTATCATAAATATACTGTCTCCCTTTATTTTGATGGCAGTATATAATTCCTCTTTGACCACTTTCCCTCCACCCCATTGTATAAGTACTGCTACAGGGCTGCACAAAATCACACATATGTGATTTGCATTTCCGGGTAGGGGGCGCGCATGCTGCCCTGCCTGCGCCGCTATTGGCAGATAGGGATGTCAATCACTGAACCAGCCGGCGATTCCCGGCCGGCACTTGGAAATCGTCGGGGGAAAGACCTGTGTGTAAACGACACAGGTCTCTCTCCTGTCAACATGGACATGCTGTTTTGTGCAGACATACAAAGCAGCCTGTCTCCCAGTAAATCACAGCACACAGTAACCCTAGGTTCACACCTAAGTGTTTTCTGCAGCGTTTTGCAGAAACGCAGTGCAGTCCATTTTAACATGATTTCCTATGGGACACATTCACATCTGCGCGTTTTCACCAGGTGCATTTTTTGGAAAGGGTCAGGGACTTTTTTTAACACAAAAAGTTGCGTTTTTGTCTCTATAGACTTCAATGGAAACGCTACAGAAAAGCATGTAGTGCGTTTCTGCTGCATTTTTTTATGCGTTTTGTGGTTTAAATGTGCCTAGCAACAAGAAAGATTTTAAAAAAGCAAAAACGCGTCAAACACAGGTGCAAAAACACAATGCAGAAACAGCTCAAACACAACCTGCATAGTTGTGAATCTAGCCTTAAATGCAGTTAACCCTTTGATCACCCCAGATGTTAACCCCTTCCTGCCCAGTGTCCTTAGTACAGTGTCAGTGCTTATTAGCACTGATCACTGTATTAGTGTCACTGGGGATGTCAGTGGCAGTTAGTTCCCACCCAGTGTCAGAATGCCCACCGCAGTCCCACTTTAAGTCGCTGATCGCTGCCATTACTAGTAGTAAAAAAAAATAAATAGAAATCCTCCCCAGTGAAAACGCAGACCGATAAAAAACCTGAGATGTTCCAAGCCTTCTCTATCTAAAACTGTCATTTTGGCTAGAGTTTCACTTCAATTCAAAAAGAAATACAAAGGAATGGAGTTTTGACTGTATGCTGTCCTCTACAGATCATTGGTCAGAAATACATCAACTGTAGGTTCACACCTAAGCGTTTTCTGCAGCGTTTTGCAAAAACACAGTACAGTCCATTTAACATGATTTCCTATGGGACAGGATCACATCTCTGCCTTTTTCACCTGGTGTGGTTTTTGGAAAGGGTCAGGGACGCAAAATGCAATGCAGAAATGCATCAAAAACAACCTGCATATGTGTGAACCTAGCGTTAAGGATAATTATGGGGTTAATATAAAAAAAAACATACATACTCACCTCCAGACTGCAGCATCCACATGACACTGCAGCTGTCCCAAACCAGCTCTAACACTGAGAGCTGACAGATCACATGACTTCTGGTTTGCTTGCAGCAGAGAATAGTGAATGTCAGTCACTGCACCCTATTCTGCTCCTCTAACACTCACATGAGTGACAGGTTGGGAAGAAGTCAGTCACAGCTGGCTCCAGTTCTTAGCCATTTGCTGAAAGGAGAAAAAAACAGTGGTCAATCAGGCAGCCAGGTGGATCCGACAACATTGTCAGGATCCCTCCTGAATGTGTTGAGGCTCTACCCTGTCAGCTGTTAGTAAATACACTCCTGTGATCCAAAAGAAAGGCAAAGCCAAAAAACAGTTTGTCCATACTTCTTTTTTTAGATCTCAAGAGTAGTGGCCTTTTTTGCTCATTTTCTACATTTGCTTTGAGCTGTCATTCAGATGATCAATAAAGGGTAATGTATGGATTATGAATAAA